CAACCGTCCGCAACCGTCCGCAACCGTCCGCAACCGTCCGCAACCGTTCGCAACCGTTCGCAACCGTTCGCAACCGTTCGCAACCGTTCGCAGTAGGACGCTAAGGCGCTGCCATTGGGGGAAGCTTTTGCAAGTGACTTTTCATGGATGTGTCACGTGTCAGTTTGCGACGCTATTCCATTGTGATTTGCATGAAAATGACATGTCGCGCAAGAAACGTGATGCATTTCGCTGCACAGGCGCAGTGGTTTGAGAGATCCGCAGTTTACTGCGCAGTTTCATTGGGATTAGCGTTTGGAGAGTCGTGTTTTTGGGGTGTTGGATGTGGCCGTGCCATTGGGATTTGCATTTCAGGGTGTGGCCTCGAAGCTCTGTTTTCGTGACAAGTCTCAGCTGAAATGGCGATTTTGGTGGATGGGAGTGTGCTCAGAACGGGTCGAAATCATTCTAAACGTGTGGTGTGGTGCAAATTTTGTTGAAGCTCATGTGAGATGATATTCTCACTTTTCGTGGCAGGCACAGTACTTTGTCCTGATTTTGAGGTGTGGAAGTGCGATTTTCGTGGCAGGCGCAGGAAATCGTGAGGTTGCGAGGTGTGACGGAGGTGTGACGGAGGTGACATTTCGTGGCAGGCGCAGTACTTTGTGCGCGTTAGACGTGTGGATGCGGAAAGATTCGTGGCAGGCGCAGGGAATCGCGAGGTCGTGAGTTATGGTAGAGGTGAATGTCGCTGTCACATTGGGATTGGCGTGTGAGCGGGTGTCGTTTGGAGGGGCTGGAATCGCGAAATTGCTAGGCAGGGCTGCGTGATGTGTGTGCTCCGATGGGTGTTTCCGCTGGACTTTTGGAGGAAGTCTCGTACGAAACGCTCGTTTTGGAGACTTGACGTGTGACTTTTGGAGGAAGTCTCGTGCGAAACGCTCGTTTTTGAGACTTGACGCGTGACTTTTGGAGGAAGTCTCGTACGAAACGCTCGTCTTGCAGCCTCGCAGCGTGACTTTTGGAGGAAGTCTCGTACGAAACGCTCGTTTTGGAGACTCGACGTGTGACTTTTGGAGGAAGTCTCGTACGAAACGCTCGTCTTGCAGCCTCGAAGCGTGACTTTTGGAGGAAGTCTCGTACGAAACGCTCGCGTGACTGCTTCTAGTGTGTGGGCAGACCGTGTCGCGACACGAGTGTCCCACAAGAGTGTCCCACAAGAGTGTTCCACAAGAGTGTCCCGCAACCGTGTCCCACAAGAGTGTCTCACAAGAGTGTCCCTTAAGAGTGTCCCACAGGAGTGTCCCACAAGAGTGTCCCGCAAGAGTGTCCCAAATGAGTGTCCCACAGGAGTGTCCCACAAGAGTGTCGCGCAACAGTGTCCCGCAAGAGTGTCTCACAAGAGTGTCCCTTAAGAG